CCTTCTATAATTTTCATGGCAGGTTAGCTAAGAGACAGGCGAAACGAAGGACCTGCATGGTGTGGTGGTGAACGCGTTACTCCCCGGAAAGGATAATAGCGCGTTCGTTCCCCACCATAGACATCTGCGGTCCAGAGTTTTGCAAATATCTCAGCAACGTTGTGGTTGTATTTCGCTTAGTAACCTGCCATGAAAGTTATAGAAGGCAGAAAACAAAGCGTTAAACTTTTCATTACATCACAATGAAGTGCTAGGCTTCTGCAGGAACAAAACCGCTTTCCTTTCGTTGAAACTCCCACCTCAAACAGCGTAAGGGACAGCAAGCAAGAGGCGGGACGCAAGTTAAAATTGATGACGTCGAGAAAATTAAGCAAACTCATAGACCGACATGGCGAAGTGTATTCTATGTTTATCAATTCCTGAAGTTCGCAAGAAGTGCAGCTATCGAGAAATAATCAGAATTGCTTAATAAAAATCCAATTAGTAGCTCTGCTTTATTGATTTCGGTAGTTTCGCTTTCTTCAGAAGCACGATAATTTAAGTTGAGAATCCACATCATTTGTTTCTCTTACACTTTGTATCTTTGTCATCGTTAGATCGAGTGGAATCGAACAGAGTGGAGAACTGTACGAATGAAGTAGAGTGACACTCTAACTCAATCGTATTGGAAACAAAACAGCTTCTTCACCCATTCACCGTTTTCTATGAGTCTTCCACAGTCTGCCACGTGGAGACTACCTCACAGAGTGCACATGGATGAGTAACGTGCTCCTCTGACGTCAAAATATCATTCTGAGATATTATATGAGACCACGTATGGTAAGAAGCCATTCCTGCCTGTGGTTCGTCATTGAATTTGTTCGACTTTATCCAAATTGCCACGACGATTTGCCGCGCTGACGTTTTAGATTCATGTGTAAGAAAAGCAGAAAGAAACGAGCGGTGTTTTTTTCCGGGCATAGAGTGCCACTATTTTTCTGCGACGCTCTATAACAGATCAGATGAACTGTTCCCGAACTAAGTCAATCACTGTCTCTACCGTTAGAGCGTACTACGCAATTTCGCGTTGAACATAGATGGTTATACAAACAGCTGCAAGCTAGCAAGCTTAGAGTGTTCACTGGTATTTCAATCAATTGTACCGATTTCTGTAGACCGGTCCTTATAAGTAACGTTTCATAACTCTCACGTCGGCTTTCTATTAACCT